TAAACTGTTCTATTTCAAATGGCTATAAAGCTATATTTGATTAAGAGATATTTAAGAATGACATTGTTTGAGAACAGCAGAGGGAAGCAGGAAGAAGAGGGAGGAAGGTTGCTTGATTAAAGTAATGCCCCTTTGCAGACTGCTTATATAACGAATCTTACTGTTTTGCATTATTTTATACCATTACCTCCATCGCACATCTGCCTCCCGCTCTGTTCTCCTACTATCTTTATGCTAAACGTCAGAAAAAAGAAAAAAAAACAGAGCGTTGAAAAAATGAAGCTGAAAACAGAAGTGTTGAACATAGAGAAATAAGGGATTATAAAATATCGACATTAATAAAAATGGAGGAAAAAAAACGGCAAAGTCAAACAGCTATACGAACATAAAACATTTTAATGATACATAGGAAAATTAAAACATAATGTTGAGCAGGAAGTACACGTAAACAGAGAAGGGGGGTGATTCAGTTGTAGTCACAACAGTTTTATTTGTATGTATGGGTTTGAACAAAGACAGTGCAAATATTATATGGTTGCTATAGATCCATGGTATCAATTTGAATGATGAGCATTTTCAAATGGAAATATTTGCGGAAACCATTGAACAAAAAAAGCGTTGCATGTTACGATGACGTAGAATTAACGGTAGCTGCTGTCAGCTGGGAGGTGCTACCGGTTAAAAAGCAACGTCATCGTCAACTGAATATCAACGGGTGGGATGGTTACTGAACGTTTGATACGTTTTGGTGGCCTGATTGTTGGCAGTCGTATAGATCAACAAAAAAGTCATCATTAAACAAATATCCCAACCGATAATCAACATTGTTTTTGTTATTGTTGTTGTTGTAGTTGTTGCTGTCGCTGCTGTTGTTGTTGTTGTTGTTGCTGTTGCTGTTGCTGTTGTTGTTGTTGTCGTCGTCGTCGTCGTCGTCGTTGTCGTCGTATTCATAATTACTTGTTACTGCTTATTACCACAAGTATATTTTGTTGTATTATTCGATCCAGTATTCGCTTCATCACAAGACAGTATATCTGCTGTTTCATTTGTATCCAGTAATACTCACAAATTACTGCTTACTTGTTTCATTTATTCATTCATTCATTTATTCATTCACTCATTTATTTACTCAGTTGATCAATTAACTAACTGTTTCAGTATAAAGTAGGTCATAAATTTTATTCTTTGCTTTTTCTTCTTTTTATTTCATTTTTGCACTTAATTCTTACCTTCTATTAATATCAGTAATTGGGGTCTTAATTTGTTTTATCATTTGTGATAGAAGAAAAAATTTTTAGTTGTTTGTTTGCGGTCTTATTTGATTGTTGATATTTTATGCAGATTTTCGTTGTTGAAGCCCTTTTACAACCAAAAAGGAAAAAAATTCCCAACGCGCACTTTACCAGGATTTTCTTACGTAAGAGTTTTTATGAAGTTTCTAAAAGTGAATTGAATTTTCAAGGAAGAAATTTGATTTTTATTCAAGTCTTTCTAAAATCAAAAGTTTCTTCAGCCATTATCGTTTTCTAAACACTGAACATTTGCACATTAGATATTTGTTTGCAAAGGAAAACCAGAAATTTTTGTTTTACTATATTTTTTCAGGATTGGACGGTTAAATAGAGTTATTTTTTTGTTTATCGTGATAATGAATTGCTCAGTGCGGTCGTATTTTATTAGTCTAATAATTTTAATCAGTTTTCTATTAACTAATGGACAATTTGAACCCGACCAACCATGTTTTTGTAAAACAGCAGAAGCGGTTGATAATTGTAGGTCAGTATGCAAACTGATTTTATTTTGCCTTTCTTGTATAATTAAGGAACTTTTTGTTTGTAATATTAACTTATTTTAGATGCACCGCATGTAGTATAGACGAATTCAGCAATCATAAAGTTTACCCACTTTTACAGGAGTTGTTACGGAAAGATTTTTTCCGGTTTTACAAAGTAAGTCCTTTGTATTTCCGCCCATTTTATCACCATTTTCCTTTCTGTTAATAAGTGTCATTAATTTTAAAATTTAATTTTATCGTTTTTTTTCTTTGGAAGGGCGAGGCGAGAAGGCTAAAAGTGACAGGCAGCAGTTACATGTTAGGTCGGTACTTGCTAATTACTTATAGCTTGTTTTGACTTCTACCTTCCGGCTCAATTTTTCTAGAAGATTCTCATAACACTTTTGCTGACATGTAGATAAGATGAAAGTGAAAGTTGTTAATAAGAAATATTGTATTTTTTTAGAAAGATTTTTTAATGCGGACTGTTTTGTGATTTGAATTTTTTTTCTTTGCATTCTGGTCGTTATTAATTATCTTCAGAGAAGATTTATGAGTAGGTCTTATTAGAAGTAAAAATCTATTTTGCTTTTTTTCTTTTATAATACAGTTTTGGATTTTCCCGTAGATATTGAGACGTGGGGACTCATTGTTGTTGCTAATAGTTGTTATTATCAAATGTAAACGTTACACCTTTTTGCTTTGTAAAAACTGCTCCTGGATTGCTCAATTTCACATTATACAGACATTTTACCATAGTTGGGTAAATATTGTTTCAAAACATGGTTTCGGTGTGGGTTTTTTTTTTGTAGCCTTCATTTGTTAGCTTTTCTTTTTAATTCTTTTTCATAAGTCTATCCGTTTGCGGCAGTATTTTTCATGGCTGTAAAAAGTTTTTGAACTTTAGGACTAATTAGAAATTAAATGAAGATTTTTTTCTGACACAACTCTTTTCACCTTCAAAATTGTGGGTTGCAGAAATGTTCGATTTTTTAGATTCCTCGATTTAGCGTTGAAGTTTTTTTCTGCCTGTGATCGTAACTATTTGTAGGATTTTGAGAGACGGAGGTTTAAAAAAAATGTTGGAAAAAGTATCATTTTCTAAAATTAGTTTGCTTATTAGGTGTACTAGTGACGTTTTACTATGAAATTTTGTTTTTTTAGATATTTTTTCTAATTTTTAGTCGATGGACTCACAATTGCTGCTGTAATGGGGATGGCTTTTTTCAAACCAAAGATTGAAATATTTTTTTTAGGTAAACATGGAAAAGACGTGCCCATTTTGGCCGGACGATCGTCAGTGCGTTTCAAAGGAATGTGGGATTGGTTATTGCGATGACGAAGTGCCTTTAGAATTGAAGAGGCCGGCGAGTATTTCTGTGCATCGTTTAGCACCAAATCGAACTTTAGTAATGTCTGGTAATTCTCAGGATAAAACCTGTCAAGAATCTAGCAATGCATTTGACCCTTTGGATACAACGCTTACTGAGGGACATCGTGAGCAACTTCGTGATATGGATTGGCATGATGATAATGAAAACAAGTTTTGTGCCTATGATGGTACGTAGTGAAATCGTCTTTGTCATAGTTATTTCATTCACAGTGGTATTTTTTTCGTTTTCTGCTGTTTTTTTT